TTTGAAAATACAAATAAAGAGAAAAAAAACAAAACTAAACTAATTCCACGACCTCTGTGACCAAAACTAATAATAAAAAAAATAAAAAAATAAAAAAAAAAACCGCGACATAGCCTTATAAATATCTTATTTAATTAAATATATAATAATAATAATAATAGTAACTTAACTTTAATTAAACTAACACCCCCCAAAATCCCTAACCGAAAACGGACCTTTCTCCGGCAAATTCCCCGCGTGGCGCAGCCCTAGTGTCAGCGACACGTCACCGGCACCAAACCTTATTAAAGTAGCCTCGATATCGTCGGTATTACCCGCCGGAAAAGGGTTCTCGGAGACCGGAGCTCCGGCAGCATCGGATAAGACAATTCCGGCATACGTAGTCGGGTCGTTTGCTTGACCGTCAACACCTTCGTTCGGAGCCGAACTGTTGTAGATCGTCGGGTTTTGACCGGTCGAGCTGCTAATTTGGTCCCGATTATTATTACTATTATCATTATTATTGTTGTTGTTATTATAATTACTACTAATAGTGTTGTTATTGTCATTTTCTTCTTCTTCTTCTTCATCTTCGTGGGCAGTCTCTTCTTCTTTGGCTTCTTGTTGGTACATTTCTTCGACCATTGGTTTCCATAACCGGACCCTGGCATTAATGAACCAGTTCGAAACCTGAAGACGAAGAACGAAAATAAAAAAATAATTAATTAAAAATAAATTAAAATTGAGAGATTTAAGAAAGGACCAAAGTATATTTCATTGAATTGTATGGGGTCTGTCTAATGTGTTGTGTGGGTGCATGCATTCCTACGTACACACACATACACACAATGTTTGCAGGGATATATATATATATATTTAATTTTCTGAATGAATGAATGTATGAACAAATGAAATGAATTGTAACAGTATGATACACTGCTGAAAGAATTTAATGCCGAATATTAATTATCGGACAAGGAAAAGGACAAATGTGAACAATGATCTAAGTAGCAAAACCTATTTGTCTTTTCTTTTGCACACTACTTAGAAAAAAAAAAAAAAAACATATTTATCATTCATTACACATGAAATTATGATACTAATTAATACAACTCTTACAAGAAGAGTATACTCTAATATCAGTTTATTGGGAAATGCTACGGTCCCGTTACGATACAATCCAGTTGGGTGTTTTAACCGTTGGATCTAACGGGACCGTACAATTTCTCTAGTTTTTTATGTAGTGATTTAACTTATTTAATATGAGCAATTTTCAAATAAAATTTTCCTACTTTTTTTTTTGGCCAAAAAAATATATTATTTTATAGGCTTTTTTTATTAGTATTTGAGTATATGTTTAGTATATTTATAAAAACAAGTGGAACTAGAAAGGAGTGGCTTAGCATCTATGCCTGAAATCTACCATTTTGAGCACAGATGTGGAGCTCCAAAGGTTAAACCAATAAATGTGATGAGGTAAGAGAGAGAGAGAGAGAGAGAGAGAGAGAGAGAGAGAGAGTATTGAAAGCTGCAAACTTTCATGTCTTACTCTCTACTGTACTTTGCTTCTGCCTTCACTATTGGCAGCGGTTTTTTCTCTATTTCAGAATTTATGTCTTTGTGGTAAAAATTATTAAGTATCCAACCAAAATTCAAAACCACACCAAAATAAACCCAAAAAAAAAAAAAGAAAATACAATTTCAATCAAAAATAAAAATCTAATGCATATATATATTAGTTAAGTTACACTAAAACTAATGTTGGGTAGATAATGATTATAAAATCATACTTTTTCAACAAATATGCAGTATTGTTTTTTTTTTAAAGAAAAAAAGGTATAACAGATCGACCCGCCTAACAATTAAACCGTCTCACACAAGAATTTGTTTTTAAATTAATTGTACTTTATCTAGGAGACATGCCCACACACACAATACCGTTACTATTGTTGTTAGACAAGATCTAACGATTATGCTGACCTTAGTTTTTCAACAGATACGCATACTTTCAGTTATCAAATTGAATAGTCATACTCTAAACACAAGTATAATAATAATAATATAGAATAATAATAAGGCAATTAAATTAATGATAGAGGTAAAAAGAAATTAAACCTGATTTCTTGATAAACCAGTCTGTCTAGCTAAGAGATGCTTATCAGCGTCGGTTGGGTACCTGACGACGATAGAGACCAAAAAAAGAAAAACGATAAGTGCTTTTACATACATAGCAGATAAAAGAAAGAGGTGTGTCTGTGTGTGTGTGTGTGCAACTTGCTTTGTATATAGATTTTCTAACACGTGCCCGCCGTGAGTAGGGAGCATTTCTAGTGCATTATGTCCATAGATTTTTTTTTTTAATTATTATTAATATTATATATGTAAATGTAAATTAATGTGTGCATGGAAAAAGAGGGATCGTATAATATATGCAGCAATGGGTGCAGAGATTGCAGCAGTGGGTAAAAAGGGACAGCTCATGACGACGGCCTTTGTTTTTTCATTTTATTAGCTCCCTCTTATGATGTTTTGTCTCGCACACGCGCCTTAAAGTTGGGTCATCTTTCGGGTATTTACCACATGATCATCATGATGATGATAAAAAAAGAGACAAAAAAAAAAGTTACTATATTGACCTTGACCATAGTAAAAAAAAAAATGTGAACAATTCTGCTACAGTCCCGTTATGGAACCATTTCATCAGAGTTTTTAACTGTTATATCAACTATCCCGACGATTACATTATGATCTAACGATTACAAACTCGACGAAATGGTTCCGTTACCGTAGCATCTCCCAATAAATGCACTGGGTCGACTATTAATTAAACAATAACAAAATTGATAGGGTTGAATTTATGACATATATAGTCTAGGCCAAAAGATAGGTGAAAATCTATCTAATCATGCAAGAATTTTGTAGTGGTCAAATGTGATCTATCAATTGTATTTCAGATAACTAGGTTTTCCTAGGTGGCAGACACCTATATATATAATATATATATATATCTTTTTAGTTTAATTATCGAAAAATAGGTTAGGGACATAGCTAGCTAGTAAAGGACGACAAATCGAAAATTTTCAGAATTACGATAAAAATAAATAAAAAAACCAGAAATCTTGTTAATAGGTCCTTTTCTATAGTTTTTTACCTGTCGTAATTCAAA